TGTCTCTTGAGCAAACTATTAATTCCATAACTAAATAAAAGTGTAGCACCAAAATGATTTAACAACTATCATACATGAGTAGCAATTATATTTTAGTTAAGTGTTTTATTTGTTTGTGTTTGGAAATAGAGAAGATATAATGATATAATATTATTCTTTCTTGAATGACCTAGGATTTTAAGTAGAGAAATGTCACATGAACAGCCACAGCAGCTGAGGGAAGGGAGGGAAGAGAAGAAGCTGGAAGACTGGGAGGCAGGCCAACTGGGTATGCTGCACTGGGGGGGCAGGAGAGAAGGGGAGATGTGTATTAGCTTTGCCCTATTCACTCCAAAAAATCATTCCAGGGTCCCTCAGGGATCCCTCTGCATTTTGCTTCATTCAAAATCCAGAATTGCAAAAGCATTCTGATTTGTTTTTCTGCTGCACCATGCCAAGATGAAGCAGCAGAACTTCTGGAATGGAATGTTTTATTCCAGTTTCAAAACAAAACATATTTTCCATTTCAAATGCACTCTTAATTTTGAGTTAGAACAATTAATCAGCAAATGTGATGGAAGATCTACTTCCCTGCTTTGACTCCTCATTCCCTCTTTGACACTACATAGCATGCCTCTTATTGGTTAGACTGATGTTCTCAGGGCTCTTCCTGTTCCTGTTCCTTTTTCCCACAATCCCCCTCCCTATTCCTGAATCATAGACTAGATACCATGCCAAGCTGCATGTGGTCTAGCAGAGTACATGGCCTTTCACTTATATTATAGCCAAACCATGTATTTCAGTTTTCTATCTAACGTTATGTATTTATTTCATAAATTTGCATGCTACAGAATCATTTAATACAGTAAAAAAAATTCCATAAAACATAAAACTGAATTTGCCCTACAATGCCACCCCATAAAAATCCACTAAAAACTAAAATCAAAATGAAAAATCAAAACACACAACCCAAAAGGGCAATCCAGGCCTGCCATGCGTATCCCAAAACCCATGTGAATAAAATCATTGTCATGCCTGGTGACAACCTCAGAGTGTGAGGCTCTTACGTTCTGAGGTTCTCTTGGAAGAAGAGTTTTAAACTGTATTATTAAAGCAGTACATATCCACCCAGAGAAATATAGAAGTTTACTATATATGCTTCTTTCTTATAATATCTGCCATTTCAAGATGACAGATTATTTGTAACCCTGAGACCACCAGAATTCCTTCCCAGATTTTAAGCCTTGTGTTCCAAATTCTAAAACTGGGCAGTTGTTCCCTCCTCTGAGGCAGGACTTCTAGAATTGTTTAAAAAAAAAATTGGTGGAAGTTTTTCCGGAAGCGTAAGTGATTTACCATCATGAAAGAATAGGGTTTCAGAGGGGGTATTTTTGTTACTTGTAAAAAAAAATAAATGGGAAGGAAGAATAATATACAAGTAAAATATATTTCTAAAACTAAAACTGGACCTCATGTTGTACATTGGAATGAAGGAAGAGCTCAGCTATTTTTTCACATCAGGCAACTGATGTGAACTTCCAAAAGAGTGGTCCAAGGCTCATCACAAGATAAAAAGAATATCTCCCCGCCCTCTTATGAATGGCATTATGAAGAAGTGGAGGAAAGTAACACACTATCATATTCTCATCCTGTCGTCTTATGTACTTGCAAACATACCATCTTCCATCTGCAAGCCTTTGCGTTTTCCTAAAGGTTCTGTCTTTTTAATTTCCATTAAAAAAAAAAAAACCAATAGATATAAAAGGTCTCATGGCATTTACCGCTGGGGCTTATCCGTCAAGGATGCCAAATCAGTGTGTGGGTAATGCAGAGTAAGGGCGCCACTGAAGGGAGGGTAACCTAGGAAGGATGAAGATGCTGGGTCTTTACCATTTGACAGCACTTTGTATGCTTCCATTATCTCCTTTGACTTCTCTTCAGCCTCTTTTTTGTTATCGGGGTTTTTATCAGGATGCCACTTCTTCAGCTGCATTCTGTACCTATTCAGTTACAGGGAAGGCCACAAACAATAAGTCTCTTGAGCAAACTATTAATTCCACCCCAAGCTTCCTTTCATTCTAGAATACTTCTCCAAGAATCAGAACTAAGCACACTGGGCAGATACTCCCACTATCACCAAGGAAAACAGGACAATACAGATAGGCCTCGTTTAGCAACTGCCTCATTTAGTGACCATTCAGTTATGACAGTGATGAAAAAGTAATGTTACAACCGATCCTTGCATTTACAACCTTCACAGGTCTGTAAAGTAAAGGAAAGCTGAAGTAAGATCATAAGCACAGTCGCAGTTTCACTTAGCGACCACTTCACTTGACGACCAAGTTGCTGGTCCCAATTGTGGTTGCTAAACGAGGACTACCTGTATCAGGTTTTTAAACACATTCTGAAAATTAAATATTCTGTGCAGAAAACCTGCCAGATCCCAGGTAACCCAAAGGGCCACTGCTGCCACCCTGCCAACTGAGCCTGGGGCCAGAAAAGAGTGGAGGCAATGGACAACAACTGAAACTGCAGCTGCAGAAGTGCCAAGGTAGCCCAGAAAGTGGAAAAGCCGTTCACCTGGATGCACAGCCACTGGGGAGGAGAGTCCCCACCACCTAGCCCCAAGCCAAATGGTGCCCAGGCTATTAACTGTGCCTCAAGAACAAGGCCATTAGAGAGGGCAACAAAACTATTGGGTCCAGACCAGTAAAAGCATAGGAGGAAAGCTCCTTGCTGTGGAGGCAGCTTTGTTCAAGATGGGAGGAGAGCACACATGGATGAATGAGCCCTAGGGCTGTTGATTCCTAGGCAGATCAGATAGATCAGCAGTTCTCAAACATTTTGGTCTCAGGACCCCTTGCCATTCTTAAAAATGATTGAGGACCCCAAAGAACTTTGGCTTATGTGGGTTATATCTATTGGTATTTTCTGTATTAGAAATTAATACTGAGAAATTTTAAAATATTTACTTATTTGACTTTGTGGGCCCCCTGAAAGCTTCTCTGGGACCCCTAGGGGTCCCCAGACCACAGTTTGAGAACCACTGGGATAGATGATTGGGAGTGCATAATTTCCCAGCAAATTTAGGCAGGTAGATAAATATACTGTATCTGAGTGTAGGGCTCAGGCCAAGAATTTTAAAAACAAGCTAAAATGTATCTTTTCAATGTAGTCTCTTGAATAGTTTTAATAACTATATTACTATATTACTACTACTTTTTCTCTAACTATGGTATAATGCTAGCTTTATTTTTTATTTTAATTAATTGGGTATTTTATTCTTTTGTTATTAGATGCCTTGAACACCATTTCATGGCAGAAAAGTGGGGTACACATCCAATTAATTAACTAATTAATAGAACTAAACCTATACTCTCATTTACTCCAAGCTTTTTGGTTTTTTAGCAGTCTTCTTTTGGGTTTAGCATTGTTAAAAACTCTTGTCAAACTGCTATAAATTGCTCAAACACCTACCAGTATTTTCTGTTTTATTTTCTGCTCTCCTCTGTACTTCAGTTATCTGCCATCAAGTCATTGTCTACTCTTAGCAACCACATTATCTCCCCTGTACTAGGGGATTGCTAATATTGTACCCTACTATTTAATAGTAATGATGTGCACTTGAGAAAATGCCTAATTCTTAATCAGCTTCAGTGTTTGGAGTACAGTGAATAACTAGAGAAGGTGATCTTGCCAATAACCTTGCTAACTTGAAGTTTTAAAAACCAGGATTTGCAAGACATGGTATTCTAGATTTTACTGCATTGTAATGCCCACAATTCCTCACCACTGGCCATGTTGGCAAGACAGGATGGGAGCTGGTAGATTGCTGATCCTTGTTTTAAAAGGACGGTTCAGACTTTTAGCTAGGAGTTAAGCTGAATCTTCAAATGACTTTCCTTTTTTTCCCCTTTTCTATTTTTAATTAATTTTAGTTAAAAGAATGAAAAAAAAAAACCAGAAAGGAAAAGCTATTAAAACATGTAAGAAAACACAGGGTACAGAGAGTTATTCCTATTGAAATTTAAATTGAACATATTTGGTTAATTGTTTTGATAAAAACAGAAGATCCCAAAAAGTATAAAGAAATTCTATCAGCCCAAATAGAGAAACTGGTGGGTTTGGGGATGGACCCACATTCTTTTGTTCACAGTAAGCACTAAAGGCTGGAAGGCAGACCGTGTGGAACACCGACTTACGCCATTTTAATATCTTCATAGGAGGCACTTGGAGTGACCCCCAGGATCTTGTAATAGTCTATAGCATCTTTTGTCCATCCTTTAGAGAGGCCTGAAGGGACCCTGGAATGTCCTGGCAGACCCATGCAAGCTGGGAACAGGTAGTTGCTGGAAATACCTGGCCCTAGAGAAGAAGAAAAAACTAGCTGGTCTTTGAATAAATGGGCACACTTTATATCTGTTAATCCAAAAGGCCTTTTCCCGCTGCTGAATGGTAAGTGCTGTCCACCCATCAACAAGTCAATAGAACATTACAGTAACATGATACTTTTTCTTTCCACATTCCCTACTCTTATCTTGTTTCTGTTGCCTCCTCTCCAAGGCAACAGGTGATAAATTTATAAAGTATTAACACCTGTACAGTTAAGGATGACTTAAGCCTGTCACTTTCACAGCCTAGGGACAAGATGAAAGCAACATCTAATCTGTTTGGATTACTGCAGTGCACTTTACATGGGGCTGCCCTTGAAGACCACTTGGAAGCTACAACTGGTCCAGAACGCAGCAGTGCACACAGTATCAGGTGTTCCTAGGTTCGCCCATGTTACACCTCTATGGCATAAGCTGCACGTTTCCTTCCAGGTGCAATTCAAGGTACCAGTTATCACCATTAATGCCCTACATGGCATGGGACCAGATTGTCTGCAGGACTGCCTCTCCCTGAGAGTATCTGCCTGTCCTACCAGATCAGATGAGGTAGGCGTGCTCCAAGTCCCTTCCCTGATCTTGCCGTCTAGTGGGACCTCAGAAGCATGCTTTTTCCATGACTGCCCCTACCTTATGGGACACACACACACACACCGGTGATTTGGCAGGCCCCCACCCTTTTAGCCTTTCAGAAAGCCACCAGGACCTGGCTTTTTACCCAGGCACTGGGATAGAATGAGGATATCTGGAGCTGGTTGTGGGGCATCCCAAGGGGATGATAGAGGTATCAGGTTTTTTTTAATGGTTTTATGGTTTATGAGTTTATAGTTATTAGTTTTATTATTGTGAGCTGCCCAGAGTTGTGTTTAAGATGGGTGGCCATACAAATCTAAAAAAAAAAAAATCAGGAGGATACAGAAGAAGAGTTACTATCAGGCTATATCTATGCCATGTAGGGAAAAGTTCAAAGACTTATCTAAATTCTGAACTTGTCTTGAATCAGTTTGGCTCATTCCTTTAACTGTAGCTGATCAAAGCAACTGGAAAGCAGATAGTAATGTGATAGTGAAAGAGAAGTTTGAGACTTGGAGGAAGTCTCAACAGGTTGGAAGAACAAACTTGTCTGCCAGAGACAGCCACATCATATAAACAGAAAACAGGGTATTAGCAATGAACTGTTTTTCAAAAGTTAAGTGCTACAATAAAGTATCAGCATCATATTCTTTCTTAAAAGCCAGAATCTTATCTCTACTCCCTTATTAGAGAGACATACTTTTTTTCTGAGTTATAATGAATTTTAAAGATTGCTAGAAAAAGGAACAGGAAGCCTTTGTACACATAAAGATTGTTTTCAGTAATGGGACGGGGGAGGGCAACAATTTGCCATCCTAGAGGTCACATAATATGCATGTACCTGTGTGCACTTGCCTCTTCACATACCACTCATCTCATCTCTCCCACGAATCTTGAGTAGGGGTTCTGAGAGGAAGGAGGAAGCAGTGAAATTTCCTTTTCCCCCACAACAAATTACAAGTCTTAAAGTTCTGTTATCATGTTAAGGAATAACCAAGGATCTCATTCCTATCAATCAGTCAGGTGATCAACTTGCTGGTGGGGACCAGATCACTTGATTTCTTGCCATTAATGGCAGGAGGAAAACGGTGATCCGTTTCCCACTGTACAGTAATCCAGTAGAAAAGGTGAGCAGAGATCTTCACAGCCCTGCACGTTTTGTGACTGAAGGCTGAAGATTGCCCATCCATGCTTTCAAATGAGTATTAAGGTCCTCTCCTACAGACAGTGAATGGAGTCTTACTTATTGAAAGGCAGGTGTTTTCAAGTGACAAAAAGCGATTTGGCCAATTCAAGATGATTTAATGAAGTCTAGGACTTTTGGGTAGTTTCACAAATTATGCAACCAAACAGAGGAAGCCTATGTCCTACCTTGCAGGGCCCAAAAGATTTTCCTTTGGTATTATCTTATTCCCATGTAGGCAGAGTTATAATCTCTGAAGGCTACTTACCTGGGATGAGACAGGGAGAGGTTGATTGTGATGTCAGGGGCAATATCACTTGCATTCAGGTTTTGTGATTGGTTGCCCACAAGTAATAAACACAGTGTAAGGGAAATTCCGCATAGCAGTCTAAGCTGCTTATCCCCCCTGCTGCTCCTAGCTTCTTCTTAAGCCAGCTTCAGAAATTCCAGTCTGGATCGCCCTGGGTTGGCAGTGAAGTTGGACTGGGGCTCAGTCTGAACTATGGATACCATAAGACCTGATGGTCATTCCCCTGCTTCTTCCTTTTCCATCCATGCAAGGAAGACAAGCCTTGCTGGCTAGTTCCTGTGTGGACTGGTCTACCAGTGGCTGCCTTTTCCTTTTAGGGATTTATCTCTTCTCATTAATCCCTGTGCCTTGCCTTTGCTTTTCCAGATGTTTGCATGCATGGATGCCTTCACGCCACGCCACACCATGCCCTTCCCACATGATCTGTTTTGACTCTAACACAGACCCTTTCTTTTAATTTTCCCCTTATAGTATGGTTGTTGCTCTGATGTTACAATAATCAAAGCTATAGAGAACAAGTTATTCTCTGGATCCCACAATCCTGTGTGGGTCCATGGAAACTTTGTAGCAAGGAAGAATGGATAGTTCAGCTTCATAGAAACAAAACAGCAAGAAGATGTCTTTTAAAAAAAGAAAGGAAAGGGATGGGAAACTTCGCAGTTCTGTAGGAGGGGATGGGAAAGCAAGCCTGTAACCTGGCAGGAACTGGAAGGGCTTATGCTACTATCTTTAGAATTATATTTTTCTAGACATATACATTATACAATAGCTTGCTTGGTTGCTTGGTTGCTTGCTTTCTGCAGTGGTCATTTCTTATACACATTTTTATCATCCACAGCTGCTTCCACTTCATCATTCCACCAAGCATAATTTTACATATTTACTGTTATGTTCCCCATTAACTCCACATACCTCCGTGGCACTCTATAATTCTTTCCATTCTGTTGCAGGCAGCTTCCACATCTCCTCTTTCCTTGCATCTACTTTCAATTCAACAAGTTGGGAGATTAATCTGTCTTCTAATACTTTTTCATACAGGACTCATGCTTCCTGAAACTGTTCTGATTTCATTCTCATTTTACTTCTTTCCTTTTCTTGCATGTTCATTTTTCCCAAGAATTATTCTTTTTCTTTGTAATATAATTTTTATTGAAGAAATTTTTAACAAGATAAAAACAATACAAATATTAGAAAAG